TCTGGCAATTTAAAATATTTGTGGTGCCTATGTGTATCATTCGTGATAAAAGGGTTAAGAAGCGGCTTCGGCTCAACAATAACTTTCAGAAACGATTCGAGTGTTCATCGCCATCAGCGACACCCATTACCGGTGACGGTGGATGATTCTACAGCGAAGCACGCGGGACTTCTCGATTTTCTCGTTTCTTCCCTTAACTCCATTAAAAACAAGAATCGAGTTGAAGGATGCGAGATTCGTTCGTTTTGGAGCCAGCGCGGCGCGGCGCATCCCGATTAAGCCGGCGATGTGCTAATTGCATCTCGGCTGCCGCGGTCTGCGTGACAGCGTCTATTTTGATATACGTTGTTACCAGCGTTTCGATATTGTTGGTCGGCATTGATAGTGGCACAGCTTAAGAAATGTACATTTTCCAGGATAGCTTCCTAAAAATTTACATTTCTGAAACATTAAATGCAGGCCGAGTTAATTATTATAGTCTACTATTCATTGTTACTGAACTGTAGATTTTTATTTATTTATGGGAAGTTTGGAAAGGCGAAGTTCAGTAGAATGCACATGATGGTTTAACATTATTTCTACCGATGCTATCAAATTTTTGACATTTTAACTTGAAATTATTTTCTCAGCTTAATCATTTTTCCTCAATTGAATTTTGGACGTTACCTATAGTTAATTTTATAATCGTTACTGGTAGAGTCGAAAAGTTAATTCAGAATATACGACTAAACTCGGAAAGTAATTGTAAGTTAAAATTTCTAGACAAATGTTGCCTATGTTTTATGAGAAATTGTGTTGAGTATTACTAGTAGAAAATTTTTAGATCACGAATTAACTCGTGTTAGTACTTGCATTAGCTATTTCAATTTTTGAAATGCAGAGCAGTATAGAATATTACAAGAATGTTAAAAGTTATATGAAAGATATGTCCAAAGTTTTATTTCAATTCATAATGTATAAACAAAGTACATTAAAGTTTATTTACATTGCTTCACTTTCATGTGTAATTACAGAATAATACACGGTGGCATGGGATAGCTTCTATGTAAATTGTCGGTCAACAATATGTTAACCCCTTGAATGAAAATAATGAGCCGCATTTGTGCGTGTCCTCCATGCGAAACAAGATTTTATAATTTATTCTACAAATTTTCCGCAACGTAACCAAAATAATATTCTTATTTTCGTAATAAAATTTTATTGAACGTGCAGTATTTCAGATGTGTTATAATGTTCATATAATATCTATAAAGTTGCGATAAAACTAACCCGTTGGCCCAGATTTTTTTCACAACTGCGTTTGATAAAACTATTGTATCGTTAATAATTTATTACAAAAAGAAGAGATTCGTTAAATTCAGTTTAAAATTTTCATCATGAATTTAACAGGTTAAGCGCCGCGAAAAGCTTAAACGTTTTATATATGATTTGTTCCTTCGTAGTTTTAAGGTAAATAGGAACAATTATTAATTATTTGACATCAGTATTCTTACACTACACTATTGTTAAGTTATTTATGCTATTAAATATTGTTAATCGACAGCAGTCATCTTACATATTGTAATTTTTTCAAGCAATTCAGAAACGTCATAAAAGCGTTAATAGGATATTATACGGCAAGGAGATGAATAGCGTAAGCATAAACATTTGAAACGAAAAAAAGAGTAAGCTAAGGGGTTAAACCGATCCCGTAAATGTAAAAAACGTATACATAGGTTTTATGACTAAGATAGAAAAATTTTCTGTTAGCAAAGTTGAACACGCTTTAATCGGACAGATTGTACATACGAGACGACATATAGAAAATACGGCCTTATTAAGCTACCCGATTATCGTATCGCTCACGTCGACCTAAGAGCTCCGGCAGTACGTTAATTGCTACGCGGAGCGGGGTTAAAGAGGCCTTAAGACAGCTTCCAGCGCACAGATTGATTTACGCTGGTAGTAAGCGTAGACGAACACCGAGCCCGCTAATTCTTCGTTTAATTTTTGAATTACGGTCGTTAATTGACCTTCATACGGATTTTTCTAATGACTACCGGCGACGGAGCTCGAAGGAAAATTTGGTTTTAATACGATCTATGGTACAATCGTTGTAAAATAAACATCGAGCTTGTTAATTGTTTGCTTGATTTTTGAATTATTGTCGCTGATTAAGCTTAATAGGAATATTTTTAGTGATTGTGAGAAACAATCACAATCAAATTATAAGACGTGAGAAATTTGGTTCTACAATTCTGAAAATTTAGAATTTAAATATTCTTATTTCCAAGCTACAAATTCGAATTGAGATGTTTCATAAGATTCATAATAAATTAATCTCTATTATAACGTTTATCGGTATGTACATCTTTCTCTTTTACGTTTACGCAGGAGTTTCATTATACCTTTCAATTCGTTTCCTATGAATTTTCCTATATTGCAGAAGTGGAATAAAGTAAAATATTTCTGTTTTTGCATAAGTAAGTGATTAAAAAGAGATTAAACTCAATTATACTTTAATTTACTAAAAATTTATCAAACTACATTATTTTAAAATGTATATTGAATGCTGATGAGTAATTGTTATCTGATTACTGCATATAATACTTTGTTATGATATTTCATTTGACTGTCCTTAATGTTTATTAATACACCACAGCAAAAAGCAAACGTACACGAGTCAAACACGCTTTTCTCCGCAAATCGGTTAAATTCAATTAAAAATCTTCGCCACGACTCTCTCATCATTCTACGGCAAAGGGTTAAAAACAGGTCCCAAGTAATACCGCCAACAACAGAAAGAGCAGAAATATACTACGTTACTCTTTATCTTATCGTCTTTCATAAACTGCGAACATCGGAAACGGTCTCATACCACTCCGCGATAGCGTGTATCGATATTTCGACTTGCCAAAGATCGCGGATAAAATAACGAAACAAAGCAACCAGACTGTTTTCTTCGCTCCTACGGTGCTCGATAATAAGCAGTATGCTCGGCTGCAGCTAGGTTGCAATGTATCCATTGCTAATAGAAGAGAAATCCATAAAATCCATGCCGACCATCTAATGTTTCACATCGAATGTGGACTACCTAAAGGCGTAAGCGCTGAAGAGACTTGATCAGAGGGCATCTGTAAGTTGGGTCGATCGGTTCGAGTTAAACGAAGCGTATCGTTCGGAGGCGAGAAAGAGGAAAGCGGCGTATTGCCGCGGTCGCAGGAAGTTAATTAACATCTCAGACAAGTCGTGGCTCGGCAGGAATGAGCTAAAGCAAGCTAGAACCTCGCCTATGGTGCGCCATATCTTATGATATCTGTCCTCGTATCTCGGAGCGGCCGTGAGATACGATGTCCCGATTGCTGTTTCGACCAGCCGTAACTTAGGATTCGATCTAGCGTTTTCTTCCACGGAAATAAATATTGCCTGGCTAGGAAATAATAAATGGACGTTTTATTTCGTCTGGTTTAGGTCTGGTTAGGTCTGGGTTGGTTCAGACCACGACACGCCGAAGAGAACGGTTTGTGCAAGTGCATCGATTTTTCATGGAACGATGTTATCTCTTGTTTAACATTTAGTTCTTTACTTTATGTTTCCTTTTTACAACGATGTGGCGAAAAAAATAATTTTTCTAGTCGTCGTAATTAATATTAATATAATATTAATTTAATATTAATATAATATAGTTTCAAATACACACAGTTCCTTTCTACCCAATAAATAAAAAAATTTGTAATATATATATAATATTTCGTCAATACAAAATTTGACTATTTTACTTCTAATGCACCTATAATATCTCATTAATAAACAATTTTACTGTTTACTTTGTTTTTCATACTTGGAACATGTGGACCAATCGATTTTTCGAGTAACAGATTTTCAGAATTCGAATGTGTGTAGATTACATAACCAGCACGATCCTCAGTTAGATCAGCGATGACGAGGAAGGAGGAACTGGAGAACATTAAGCGTGTTTACGCGACCATTCGGCCTCACGCTGAATGATTACGATTTATGGGTTTCTTTGTGGTAGCTGATCTGCGAGGCCGATCTTAAACCTTCTCATGAAATCCATCGGCTACAGTGATCTTAAGGCTGCCTCCACAACAATCAGCACTTTAGTTTTATTTTAATTATTTCGTGTACATTGCTGCTGTATTATTTTCAAATATTAAATATCTAATTTCATGCTTAAGAACGAAGGAGTAATCAAAAAATGTTTTTATATACTTTTTATGAAATTTGTATTTTTTCTATGAATAGTTGAATTATAATGCAAAGACAAAACATAACCTTTAAATTACGTAATACAGAAGCAACACTAATATTAATCGATTAATTAATAATAATCAATCATTGAGTATAGCAACTGTACACCCAATAATTGATAAGTATACTAAAAAAATTCTGTTATAAACATTTTGTAACATTTGTAGGTTTTTTGTAGTGGTAACAATAAGCTTCAACCAATTATAATATTTTCTATATCAAGATGATAACCCCAAAATTTACCAAACAATGCTCATAAAATTTAGTATGAGTCAAATTGACTCGTTCCGTATATCTAGCGTTAAACCCATTTTTAAACACATCGGAATGTTTAGGTAACCAATGTTTCTCTTGCAAGAAATCGAAAAGAAACCATTGAACAGACACCAAGACATTAATCATGACGAAGAAGCTCGGAAAAAGATGCTGCGCCTAACCCCGCGGCTTCTGAAACACGCAAGTATCACGAAGCGGAACGGTACCGCACGCGGAAATCGCGATCGTAAATTAAAACTAAGCTAAACAGATTATACGTCAGAAGCGTTCCACGGGCAAGGGTGGTTCGACTCTTGTAAATCTCAAGTAACATCCTGAACTCACGACTCCTGTCCAACCGGATAAGTGCTCCGCACTTAAGAAAGCCCGGAGATAAACATCCGCGGCTTAGTTAGAAAAAGACGAAGCGTTTTGCATTACTCTTGCTCGCGTTCCACGCTGCTTCCTAGGACCGTAGACCTGTACTTCACTTCCTAACCATCGAAACTATCGCGGAAATCGTTGCACGCGCAGGGGATGATTTTCTCAGATTTCTTTGGAACTCCCAACACTTGGGTAGTTCTTAGATACCGAGTTTGTTGCTTGTAACGTGTTATTCCTCGCAAACTGATAATGCGTATGTTATTTTCATCTACAGTATTTGTTACATTATAATAATAAGAGTATTATAACGTAAACCCTGAAGGGGTTTTTGTTATTTAAATTTCAGAGACTTTCGTAGCTGACTTTAAGATAGGAAGATCTCGATCGACGTAATGATGTATAGCTTTATCACTTTAAACTTTCTGATGAAAAATATTGAAGACAACTAAATGTTGTTTAATTCTGTACGTTCACAAACAATTTAGAAATTGTCCACAGATTTGTGTGAAGAATTTTTCCTTACCTATTTTATGCAGATATGTATACTAATCTCGTTTATTAATCTCTTGGCCTATGATATCGTATTAGACTCGCGATGAAAATTTTGGATGGAATTTGAAAAATCTAAATGTTATTTACTTTTTCAAATGTAAATTAAATAGTACTTTTTTATTTTCAATCATTCATTTCTGTAGTAAACGTTGAAATATAATAATTATTAAATTCTTTTTTTCTAATAAATTGTTAATAATAAAGTAGTTTTAGCAGGTATAGTTCTGAAGGAGATTATAGGACAAGGGGTTAATAATTTTCTGCAGAAATGTAACAACGCAATAATAATTTTGTACAGCGGCAATTTTGGAACAAAAACATCTCAATGTACGTGACACCTAATTCCAGCGCTAGTAAAAACCTTGATTTTCTGCCAAATACTCGCAGACGATAAAAAGAATTGGACACGACTAATTTCTTTTTCCTCTTAAAGTATTGGGTGGATACAACAAATTTAACGTTTTGTACATGCTTTACAAAAAATGTTTTTCTTTAAAACAAGTAACATCTGTTTTGAAACTATTGTTCTTCTTTTACTCAGTTCTGATTTAGTCAGCGAACAGAACTCCTTATTTCTTACAAAAAACCGTCAAAACTTGCATCAACCCAATACAATTCAATAATTCACTTAGTAATTTTTTAAAGTGTAACGATCGAACACTAAAATTACGGAGCAGTCGACTTTCCCAAATTTTTCTGTAGGAACTCTAAGAGTGCAGCTATTGAGACTTTAATTAACTTATGATTTAATTTGCACATTACTAAGTCAATTTCTTTAGTAACTTCTCAAAGAAGCATCTGTTATATTGTTAGTAATTTAGGAATGAGTCAATTTGACCCGTTTGGTAGTTCCAGTGTTATTATATATATATAACGATAACTGTTTAAACGTACCGATTATATTTAAATCACATTGTTTAATTACAAATATTCACTTTTTCATCGAGCAATCATTAGAAAGAACGCGTATCTCGGTCAAAAATTCATTACATGGAATGATCAGAATCTTAAGAGGGCTCTGAAGCGACCCTTAAACTCGTACGAAGAGAGGACACCGGCTGCATGATAAGGCGGCATTCTTGAAAAATTCTGAAACGGTACTTACCTTTGCAGCCTCCCACGGACAAGCCGTAATGGTCGACGTCGCAGCGATCGCACCGGAAGCCAAGGACGCCATCCGCGCACCTGCATTCGCCGGTTACGGGATCGCAGACCTCGTCGAGGGCACCCACGTCGCAGTCGCATTCCCGGCAGCCTGCAGTTACGTTCCCGTAACCTTCGATACAGGAGGAGCAGTCACGACCCTCAAACAAAGGCTTGCACGGACACTGACCGCTCCTCTCGTCGCATTCAATGGAATTGCTCCCGAGGGGGTCGCAGTCGCAAGCTGGAACAATCGGATTTCGATTTTTACCATTCGAACGTTTCGAAACTTTTCAAGGATTTTATTGTTTCTGTTATTGTAGGGTGTTCTGTAACGCAATGTTTGTCAACCACCGCGGAGTGGACATGCGATTTTACTGGTCCAAAGTCAGTTTTTCGAGATCAATGTTTTGAACATTTTTTGCTGTAAACTAATAATGATCTGAACCTTCGGAATTCAAAATATCTCACGAAATTTTAAGATTCGGATTGAAATTAATTATACGATTATGAATGAAGGATTTCAATCATAGTTTTATGCATGTTAGTAACTATATTTTGATTGCCTAATTCTATTTTAAGCATCTTTTCATTTATGGAGAAACAGTATGAAGTTTATAATAATTTTAACTGTAAGAAAGGTTTTATAAAAATGGTTAGGAGTGTTAGACATTGGACTTTGTTTTATATGAAAATTATACAATTGCAATAAAAAGCATAGTAATTTTAATTACAATCTCCTGCAACTTTTTAGTGTATGCAAATTTTAAGAAACAGAAGCCTTTTATTTTAGACTCTCGGTATAGGTTTTTCGCGAATATCTTAGAACTATGTGAGACTGTCACATAAGAATAAACAATTAATAAATTATCTTCTTTTTAGACTATTGATAGTGAATGTATTCAATGACGCATTTATAGCGTTTTATTTAGTTTTATATTGTTTGATAATTCCAACAATAAATATTATATGTTGTGTAGATATTCTTAATACACCCTTCTAATAATATGTACAATATATTATAGGTCTATGCAAAATTATGTGATATTTTACTGGTTCACAATGTAAATAGAGCTGAGAAACGCGGCTATAACGTACCATCCTTATAACCAACAAATGCTATAACGAACAGCTTTTCTCACTGAATCAAGACACTTGCAACGAATGAACGTGCTACAACGAACGCGGATAAATGCAAAAATATTTATTCATCTGCAATATGCAATGTGCAATCTGTAAATATTATTTATACAATTTAAATATAATAATTAAATTTAAAATGTATGTCTTAATTTTTGTTGTTTATTATTTTTCTTTAAAATGTTCGTAAAATATGAAATCTTTGAATTATCTTCGTTATAGGTTACTCCATTGTAAATGTTTGTACAGGGTATAAACATTAAAATGAAAATGTATCAAAAATGAAATAACTTGTTTTCTTATTAATTCAAGTTTCACGAAATCTAACATTTAACAATTACATCAGAATTTCAATAGCGTGTGTTTAGCAAAGAGAATATTTTGTTCTTTTTAGTAACTGAGCTAAAATTTAATTTTTTGACGGACACGCACCACATTATACCATTATGATTCTTAGTACTCCATATGACGTAAATGCAATCAGTTAAAGTATAATTCTATGAGCAAAAGTAAACTGAAAATAAAGAAAGAAATTTTTTCATTCAAGACCACATTTTTCGAAAATTATAAACGAAAATTTGTAGACTATGCGTGTACCATATATGTATTTAATTGGATTTACTGAATACGGAAAATATAATTAATCGTAGGTTAGTGTACATGAAAAAAATAAGTAAAAGATGTAGGATGGAGGTATTTCATTTATAATCTTGTTTTTGAGAAAATCCAGTTTCGAGATTTAGCTTAACTGCGTTTGGCTTAATGACAGAACAAGCTCAAACTTGATTTCTTCGAGGGGAAATTATAAATAAGGAGCTTTATTGCATATTTTTTTATATATTTTCATATATAGAATAACCATCCGTTGGTTATATAACTTGTAATTAACCAGGATTTTGCGAATTGCACTGTATTTGATTTTCAAAGAAATCATAAGAAACTGCATTTTATCTTTTCGATATATTCTTGCGTATGCAATCACAATAATTAATATTCAATCATTATACTAAATTCCTTGTTATTATATCAAAATTATTATTTATTCGCAGCAAATCGTCCTGTCATTCAAATAACAATATAAATAATTTTCCAAATGTATCCATCGTTCAAGGTATAAAGCATAAGAACCAAGATAAATACTTTGAACAACGAATAAATAGTTTTATTTTTTCATTTTTATCTTTCATGTGTTATCCGAAAATAATATTCTTTAGCTGCCATAGATACTGAATACAGGGTTTGACAAGTTTGTAAGGTACAGCTGTCTATTACTATAAGAATATTTTTATACTTTTTGCACAGTAATTCAATACTAATGTGCTACTGTGGTGCACACTGTTGGAGGAAAGTTTTCGAATATTTAACATTTCTGTTAATTTGTAGGTTACAGAAGATGAGGCGATAAATATGCATATGCTTGAACTTTAAACTTAGTTCGATGTAGAATGACGAAAATCTGAAATGATTTAATACTGTTTTCTCCTGATGATTATGCAATAGACAATTTTTTCTTAAAACACTAATTCTATCATATTTTCTAACTTTTTTGCTATTTTAAACATTTTGTTAATTATCTTGTTTATTGTTATGCGTGAATTACCCTCTCAACAGTTTTACAAGATATATTACATTTAATTTTTAGACTTTTAACGCTATTCCGAAATTTTGTAATGCAAGTAACAGTAATGCTACAATAATTACGTAATCTGCAAATTATTTATATTTTAAAACAAAAGGCATCATTATGATTCTGTTAGACTAAACTCTGTTTTGGAAAAATAAAAAAGTGATGGTTATGAAGAAGTAACAGCACGAAATAGCATTTCTTTTTTCTTTAAAATAAGTAAGAAAAATAATTGAAATTTATTCTGTTAATTTATTAAACTTTTATCATTATCTAATAAATATGATCACTCGAATAGTAAAATAATACGTGAAGACAAAGAACACTCACGCAAACAGTTCTGCTCCAATGGATTCCCGTAATGAGCCGGCTTGCACTTGTCACACTTCCAACCTTCTGTATTACCTCGACATTCTAAACAACGTCCCGTTTCTTGATCGCAAGGACCACCGCTGCATGGACACGGTTCGCAAGTACCGTGGGGAGTAACAGGATTTCCAAAAAATCCTACGTCGCAACTGTCAAAATAAAATAAAATTAGATATAGATAATTAAACGTAACTATTTTTTAATTTAAAACAAAATTGCAATTTGTTCATTTATTGGAATTTTAAATAAAATTGCCATATTGTAAATTAAAATAATATGGTAATTTTTCTATTCATTGTAATTTTAACCCTTTGGCTACGGCAGAATTTTGCGTCAACGCGTATTTGTGAAGAAGTGTATTGAAACCATCAAAACACTGAATTGAACTATGTAAATCAAACCAATCTAGCATAGTCACATTTATACAATATATGACTAACGAAAGATGTAGTTGTTGAATTAGAATTCACTTACGTTAGATTTAAACGAGGCTTGCTGCAAATATTGTCAATAATATCTTACGGGCGCCTGTGTGCGCCAACATTACATCAAAACCAAGTTTTTAATGCGCCTTTAGGCGCCAACATAGCCAAGAGGTTAAATAAAATTGCAATTTTTCATTTATAACAATTTCACCCTATTTTCCATTGTCAAAAAAATTCAAAAAGGAAATAGAATATTTACTTTAATTTTAGTCTCTTTGGAATGGTTCAAAGGAAAATATTAATTCGCATAAATTTTTGAAGTTCCAAAATATTAATTAATTTATTCTTACCTTTCACAATGATCGCCCGTGTATCCTTTCGGACACTGTGTACAAACATATCCGCTACTCATATCGTTAGGGTCGTCGAGTTGACAGTTCGGACTGAAGTTATTGGACTCGATCAAAAGAGGACAAGCGCATCTCCTGCAATCGCCAGGAGTTCCGTAAAGGGCGATACCATAAAAACCAGGCGCGCAGCGATCACATTTTGGTCCCACTGTGTTATGTTCGCAAGTCTGGCAAATTGAGAAAAGATTTCTGAGTAAAAATAATTCACTTCTCACTACATAATTACATACGACTGAGATACTCTAATTGGGTTGATAAATTGTACATCAATATGCTGGTAAAAAAGTCTTCACATATTATTTAAGAGATAATAGAGGGTAACGTATCCGATTGTAATTGTAGTGTCAGATAAACAAAATATCGTTAAAAATATAAATTGGAAAAAGTCTAATATATATTTACGAAACATGTAAAACGAAAATTTAATAACTACTGTAATTTATTGTAAAATAGTTTTTATTAAAATTTAATTCATTTTAATATTTGATACGACAAATAAATAACGATTAAATTTTACAAATCACAAAATCTTTAAAGAATACTTATGAAATATAAAACAAAAACAATAAAAATTTGTTGATTCTGTAATG